CATTTTATAATCTTAACGTTCGCTCACTTGATTAAAATGATGGAATAGTTAAAATAAAATAATTTGCATCAATTTTTCCGTATAATGATAATCATAAATGTGCAAATCAATATCTTGCTTATTACAGTTACTGTGTGGCTTACTCTCAACAGAAAAAAATTAATTTTTAAATGGATATATCAGATCACCAGGTAAATAACTGTATGGTAACCATTCCAAATAAATTACTTAACTATATTGAAACACAATAAGAAGTTTACCTCAGGTAAAGTCTTCAAAACTCCGCAGAGAAACTTCAGTTCGTCAATGACTTAGGGTTCTATCGACCCGAGTATATATGCTATTCGTTGGTCTAAGAATGTTGGTCTAATATACCGAGAAGGGTATTCATATAACTATTCCGGCACAGCACTATATGTCAGATACGAGTTTCTCGTCTGTCAATTAACAATATGAATCAGTAACGTTCTTTCCGATGGCCATGCATGTATATTAGTGAATTTGCCCGAGTAATATGATTATAACCTGGAAGCCTGACCATAATAAAAACATCAGTGCTTATAGATCTGAAAGTATATATGATTGTTGGTAAGCTAGATGTTATTCCTTAGAGTAAGCTAAGAACGATTTCTATAATGCGATGTAGAAATTGTTCTTTACTGAGTAAATTATATATATACATGTGCGAATAAATATTTTGCATATTACAATCGTTGTGCGATTTACTCTAAACGGGAAAATCTAATTCTTAAATGACTATATCAGATCACCAGGTACAGAACTAGAAACCATAAATATCCTAACTATTGAAACACAAGATGAAGTTTACCTCCATTTGTAGTCTGATATATAACAGTAAAAATTTCAGAGAGAAACTTCGCAGAGAAACTTCAGTTCATCAATGACTTAGGATTTTATTGACCCGTGTATTATATGCTATTCCTTGGTCTAAAAATGCTGTTCTAATATTTTTGAGTTGCATCTGACAACATAATTCTAGAGGGGGTCATCTCGAAATCCAGACACAGTAAATTGGAGTGATTAATTGTTCACTGTATGTGTTGATTTGTACTTCGTAGCAAATACACGCAATTTCGTATAATTTGTTCAGTCCTGTTCAGCATAAGGGTCGAAGCAAGTAACGTTGACCCCCACTCAAATCACTAGGAAAACAATACTTAAAATCCACCAATAAGGACAGGGATATTCATAGAACTATTCACATCACTCTGTCGGATACGAGTTTTTCGTCTGTCAATTAACAATATCGATCAGTAGCCTACATTCTTTCTGATGGCCATGCAGCATTAACAAATTTGCCCGAGTAATATGAGTATAAGCTGCAAGCCTGAACATAACAAAACATGCTTATAGATCTGAAAGTATATATGAATAATATGATTGTTGGCATGCTAGAATATTGTTCCTTAGAGTGAGCGGGAAAAAATTATAAAATTACAGTTTAGGGTTAATCAAGTTGCATGCATGCTTTTACATTTATCATCAATCGGGGCTATGCTATTATAAATCATCGCTTATTATGTATATAGACCCACTGAAGTGAGTGACTATACATAGACGCTTCCCTTGCCTTATACTATCGAGAAGTGCATGTTTTGTCTATTTTACGCAGTTGTTATATGTTTTACAGCGCTACATTCACAGAAATTAGCGCAATGTGAAGGACGTACACTCAAAATATTCTGCGTTTAGTCATTGTCAAAATTTGATGCCAATTGTAAAGACTGTAGAATATGTATGATGCGAGACGTTTACTATGGGACGTTTTTGTGTAACAAAACATTTGCATGTGCATCAAGCCATCAACGATTAAACTGATGGTTTTTCATCAGTGTCGGAAATGATAAATATAATGAGTGCCTGAAAGAGTTAAGAACACTTGAAGACATCCACACAACTGGCCTCGCATTAAAGCACAAACGCAAAATTCATTATAAGAATTTATTTGTATATGTAAATCACCACGGATTTAAATTTACATGGATGCCACCAAAACTGTCCAAAACCTTGACCTCGCTTTAACGGTGATCAGACCGAGGTTTGACCTAGGATATATAGGATAGGTTTTTGATAGGATATTTCTGAACAGTACTGTATATTATGTATAGAATTGTCAATAAATTCAATAAAACCACTCATAATTCAATAGAATTTGATGAATTTAAGACACTATGAGAGTGAAGGTAGCTATTCTATAATATATATATATGTATATATATATATATATATATATATATATATATATATATATATATATATATATATATATATATATATATACACCCGTTTGCAAAAACGTTGGCCGCAGATAGATATATAGATAAATACCCAAAAGCTAATTAGAATTGCATATGTTGTGTAATATGATTGAAATCCCATGCAAATGTAATCATATGCAATTCTAATTAGACTTCGAGTATCTATCTGTCTGTCTATCTGCGGCCAACGTTTTTGCAAATGGGTGTATATATATATATATATATATATATATATATATATATATATATATATATATATATATATATATATATATATATATATATATATATATATATATATATATATATATATATATATATATATATATATATATATATATATATATATATATATATATATATATATATATATATATATATATATATATGATTTGTAGTAGGATGACACCGAGTGGCAGCCCGCCATGGCAAGCAGAAAATTCTACTTGACCACATCCTGCCGTGGTCAAGTAGAATTTTCTGCTTGCCATGGCGGGCTGCCACTCGGTGTCATCCTACTACAAATCATTCCCTTTCCCGAGTACCATCCTCATCCTAATATATATATATATATATATATATATATATATATATATATATATATATATATATATATTAATAATAGGGGTATTAGGGGTATTCCGACGTGAATACCTGTGAATAAAACACACCCCATGTTCTCACCTAGAATATGTTCGAATATTGCGTGAATATTTTTTGAGATAAGATATTCACACTTATTAAGTGTTGTTGAATAAGTATAGAATAAGAGAGACATTATTCACTGTAAAAATTTGCCGCTAATTCGTCTCTACAGTAGTGCCAAATATACATATACAGGGTGTATCAAAAAAACTGCAAATGCCATAATTTGTATAAACTTTAACTGCTGTACGCTCCTGTGTTATAAGAATTACATTCAAGTCCCATATGTGTATAAAAATACAAAATATTAAGCCCAGTGTGAATTTTATGTGGCTTAACTCTCGGGTCTGACTACATCACAGGCGTTCTTTGAGAGCGCCCGCAGTAACTTTGTAACGCGGCCTGATATTTGAATACCAGAGGGTACTTGATATAAAACTGTATAATGAACTAAGGTTGCATGATTAGGGTGTAGGGTCATTTGGGTTATTTAAAGCTCTGGGGCCGGTTGTTCAAAAGCAGGTTAACGCTAACCCAGGGTTAAAAGTACTTAAACCAAAGTTAAATTTCAAACCTCGGTTGATTTGCATTGCACAAAGCCCGGTTAGCGTTAACCCTGTGTTAAAATTAATAAAAAAATTAACCGTGCTAGCTAGGTGGTTTAACTTTCTAATCCTCGGTTAACTTCGATTCAAAATGGATGAATAAGGTGCGGAAACACGTAAGCACGTACAATCCTTTACGAATTAAAAACTTTTGAAAGGTTTTACGAACAGTTTTGGACAGCAAAGAATTATTTAAATTTGACTTCGTTCTGTTTTAGCTGATGTATTGATTTATTTATATTATCTTCGCTTCAATGCTTCAACGCAATGCTGCCAATACATGATTAATACATACAACCGTGTGAAGTAAAACATCGTAATCGAAATATTTGTTTCGGATGCCATTTTATCTGGTATCTTAGCTGATCATTGTATTCAAACTTCAACTGAATCTCGATTCCGGCTCTTGATTGGCAGTGATAAGACTACGTTTGTCTCTGAATTAATAATCTAAATAATCAAACATTGCCTGAAATTCTAAAATCGATGGTCTATAATTTGCTTTATTTTATTTTACATCGTTTAACATACAAAATTTCCCGCAATATGTTAAAAAGGAGTTATTAATTACTATGAATGAATTACTACGCAATTACTATGAATGTTTGCTGACCGGAAAGGTTGCTAATAGCAGTTTATCCGCATTACAAAGTTACTGCGGGCGCTCTCAAAGAACGCCCGTGATGTAGTCAGACCCGTATCTCCTCGTTGTTCTCTAAAGAAAGCAATGTAACATGAACAGTTTTGCTTCAAAAGAAATTTCCTTATAGAATTTTCCTTACTGTCATTTTGGTGACATTTTTGGCGCTAGGAAATAGCGGCGCGAAAATGCTGATATAAATGATGAAATAAGTAATACTGTAACTCATCTACGAACTTCAGTTGGAAATGTTTTAACTACGTTCAGTTTGTTGCAAAAAATAAGATGCAATTAATAAATTTAGTATATTTTGAAGAATGACGATTGACTTAAAAAGCTTTATTTTCTAGATTTTCTATATTTGTTTAATATATCTTTCTTTTCAAATGTTCTTTTATTGTTTTTCTTTATATTTGTTCGTCGCCTAGTGTGATCTGAAAAGCAAACGGGATCTTCGCATCTGCCCAAACTTGAAACTGAAGTGCACACGTAGAAGGATGGGGGAAAGAAAAGTAGAGAAGACCCGCAAATTTGATTTATGCGTAATTTATCGGTGTGCCCCGGTTGTTATTACAATGTGTGACCATCCTTGACGCCATTTCTACCCAATGGGGTCCATTTTTATCGAATTGGCAATAAACAGGGGTTGTTCAAAAAGGTAGCCACTCATGAAGACATCATGCAAATAACAGATATGCAAATTTGTTACGGCAATCTGCATATTCCAATAATTCCATGTCCGCAATTTATGGCCATGTCACATCAAGTATAGTTAAAGAAAAATTGTTCATAATGTAGCGAATGAGTGTGAAAAATCAAGGACTTTAAGGACTAAGATGATTGCAACAATTCGGTATAAATGCATTCATCCAGTTTGAGCTTACGAATGACCTTATCTGAAATGATACCAGGTGATACAGATATTTGTAACTAAAATTCACCTATATTGTTATTTTACTACTTCTACATCACTGTACTATTTGATCACAACAACAACAAGTGAATGTACCACACTCGAGAAGTGCAAGAGTATCTTAAAATCAGTTTGGACAAATTTTCATCTCCGTTTTTTTCATAGAGCGCTGATTTTTCCAACGGTACCAGTTTATTCCAGAGCCATTAACCTTACCTTCACCCAGGTACAGGCCATTGAGGTTGGACTCATAACAGCCTTTGTACCACCAAGCTCCATTGGACACGGTAGCACAATTACTACTCGAAGCATCATTGTCATTATTCTTTGTAGTGAACTGCATTTGATCGTGAAGAGCAAGAGAATCGCCTGCGTCGCCTTTCAAGAAAACGTACAAAAAGTAATATAGTATAAACTTTATAGCTCGAAATTTTTAGTTTACTCATTTTACTACTAATAGACTCTTCTAGAGTAAGAGGCCTTTTCTGAGAGCCCGTTCTGGCTATATCATTTAAATTACCTTACAAATTTTTGCATCTCACCAATGTATGCATGCTGATTGCTGAGTAACGATTCGAAGCAAAAACAGTAATCATATGATTCCAGGCCTTGATCATGAATTAAAACGTAAGACTTTAGCCGAGGAAACCAAGTTTAAAATTGCTTTGGCTTACACCCTATGTACACTATATAAATTATTCGCTTGCTCAAGAGCAGATAAAAAATTATCAATTTACGCAGTTCATGTAATAGCTGCATGCATATATATAAGATAAAAGTGGCCAATAGGAATTCTCGAGTTTACCTGAATAACTTCCAATATTCAATCTGTATTTGTCCGATTCATCAGCCACACTAAACGTTCCATATTTAGCGTAACGTTTAGCACCTTTGAAGGTCACCAAATCAACTCTTAGAGCATTTTGGCCAGATTTCGTCAAACGATGTATTTTATCAAGGCCCAACTAGAACTCGCCGCTCAAATCACCAAAGCCTGCTTTATAGTCTGACCATCCAAGGAAGAAATCTTGACTTCCATCGTGTCTTCTTTGAAACACAGTCCAGCCCACCTCGTCTGTGCTCATATCACATCTGACTTGAAACGACCCCAGGCCATCAGGATCGATTGTATAAACACCATCTTTCCTCACTCCTTTGTTATACAGGTGTGCACAGCTGGTGGCTTTAAGTGGAAAACATTAAGGTTTAGCGATGTCATGGACAAAAAATTCGGACAAAATTAACATTTTAGCTACTTCGAAAATTTGCATGTCTAAATTTGGCATTGTGGGTTTATTTAGTAAACAGTAAAATGCTACTATTAGTAGGTAGGTCATAATTTCTCTCGATTGCAGGATCGATTGTGTAAACACCATATTTTCTCATCCCCTTGTGACACAGATGCGCACAGCTTGTGGCTTTGAAAGTGGAGAAGATGCATGTTAAATTTGGGATCGTGAGTTTATATATAGTAAACTGTACAAATTGATACAAAGTACTGGAACTTTAAAATATTACTGCTAGTAAGCAGAAAAGTTAATCCAAATATTTTGAAGTAGGCTTTTTAAATTTTTTATGGAGATCCTGCTGCTTAAATATTAATTTTAGATTACCACAGCAAACATAAATATGGCCCGTCGGTATAAAAGAGAGATATAATATTACTTTTCTTTGGCAAAATAGTGTGGAAGAAAGTTCATATTTTGGGCATACCTGAGTTTAAAATGTCATTTCTTCTCTTTTCCTAATAAAAAAATACTTTGCATAAATATACTGAAAGAATAAGCATAATTTGAACTCATTGACTTCAAGGCTTCGCTACAACGTTATCGCCTGAGTTGTATTTTTCCCGCCTTTCCCAAAGGTTTCGTTTAATTCAAGATTTACTCACTATTTTCTCTACACCTTTTTTTTGCGAATTGTCGCACATTGCCCAAGTCTGTATATTACAGGGGTATTGATTTGGTATATATAGCGCATTACTAGTACTGCTAAAGCCGGACGCTATAGTCGGTCTAATCGTCGAACCCTGATCAAAAGTTTCAATTTGCATAGACATACCGCTTTATCATCGAGCATTAAGATCCATTCGCCTTCTCCCGTCATTGCGGTGTGATCTTTCTTTCCAATGATGTTGGTCAGTTGACAGTTCACAACATTGATCTTGTCTCTGTAGTTGAATCCAAGACAACCCGGTTCTTTCTGACAGAGCTCGTATCATTCTATCGGGACAATTCCATGTTTAATGGTATGATTCGATATGATTTCATCAGCAGATAAACCCAGACCACCTATAAAAAGTTATTAAACACGAATATTTGAAGAATTAAATTTTTCTCAACACTACGAAAATGACTTCGTTAGAACAAAAAAAGGGTGACGACTTACCTGTTGAAATGATAGTATAAATCTCGGGAGGACAGCTGTGTGAAATGATATATGCAATTTGAACAATCAGTGGAAGTAAAGTTATTATCTTAAACATCACTGCCTGAGGTCGTCAACTGTGCTTACTTCGACATGCAGTGGCTGCAATGACGCTTAGTCAACAGAGCAGGTGATAGAACACGTTTAAGTCACATGACGCGCGTCATATGCATGAGCACAGCAAACTGAACTTTTAACCTACTTCAGTCCAACATATAGAGTTTAAAACACAGTAAAGCTTTACTTATACTAATAAAACATTATAAAAATAGTACAGAGCACAAACATATAAACTCGAAAACTTCGAAACCATTATTAATTAATCGCGATTGCGAAGATTTTAGCTTTACTGTCTATTTTATTTATGTAATTCAATATATTTCGTAGTTATAAAGTTAAAAACGTATTAGGCTGTGCATGTTATGTTCCAAACACCGAGTTCAAGTTCAACTTTAATTACTTGAAATACACCGCATTGTTGCCGAGCAATAAATTTGCTTCATGACCAAGACCATGTGTACAATGCTTTAAAATAGATAGATTCATTGTGCTAATAAAAATTTTGACAAATAGTCAAATATAAACTTTATATCTCTTCAATTCTATACTATTCTGAATCATCTTTAGCCGACAAATATTTTAAAAGATATGACGTTAGCGTATTTTCAAATTTAATTAATTAACTGCGCAATTACGCAAATGAATAATTAATATAGGCGTACGAATAAATTAATGTTTTAAATGAACAGGCTGTGCTTTTTACCCGCTCTCAGTGAGACTTAACCTTAGTTTTGTTGTATGAATACACTAAATATGTACACAAACACTAAGGATCCTGTAGTGGCCAAATTAACATATTTAATTCAAAATATAAAACGAACTTCGGGCGGACGGTACGGTTTTCAACCTGCCTTACTAGATGAATGTAAATTGACTATTCGTATAAAGATTATCATAGTAGGCTATATTGGCTTGAATAGCAAAAGCTTAAGCGATGTGTTGCCTGGTTACTAAATTTCAAACGCATTCTTGAGAACCTCTGTGCGAGTCGTTCAGTACTAGCTCCTGGTAATTTGAATCAGACTCATCGAACACATGCTGGAACACTTACACTGAATGAGTTGAAGGAATCCAAAGAAGTAAACTTACGTTACGCTCAGCGTCAGTTTTTCTTGGACGAAATTTGTCGTTTAGAACCATGTGATGAAAATGAAAGAAAACCAAGTGTTGGCAAAAGACAACGTGTACGGCGAAGAAAACAAGTCCTTTGTACAAGTTAGATTCACATTTAAAGGGAGGTTTGTTGACAGTTGGCGGACGCCTAAGTCATGCAACGGATTGTGAAGAAGTGAAACATTCCATTATTGTGCCACGTAAGTCGCACTTTAGCGAAGTTATTAATTCGTCAAGAACTTGAGACACTGGGGCATTTAGGAAAAAATCATGTACTTTCTAGTTTTCGTCAGAAACATTGGATCATAAGGGGCAATATATGCAGCTGTCAGCCTGTCAGAGAGACTTTGAACAAGTGCGTCAAGTGTAAACAATACCGTGCGAAGGTTGAAAATCAGAAGTTGGCAAAGTTACCTGTGGAACGTTTAATACCGGATGAACCTCCGTTAACTCGAGTTGGAGTTGATATTTTTGGCCCAATTGAAGTTAAACGAGGAAGAAGTATTGTCAAGTTTTATGGTGTAGTTTTTACCTGCTTAGTCACTCGTGCGCTACATACTGAAGTTGCTTCAACTCTAGACATAGATTCATTTATTAATACTTTACGCAGATTCGTCGCTTAGATGACAATTCATGAATATAATTATATAGTTTGGTATATAACACACACACATTCTTGCTGATAGTTAATATAAATATAAACTTCGGGAGGACAGTACGGTTTTCAACCTGCGTCACTATATGTATATGCAAGAACTAGACTATTCGATTAAAAGACTATTATAGTATGAACGTGAGTCGTTTGTTGATTAATACTTATTCGTTGGTTGTGTATGGAAACTGAACCTACAAAGCTCTCCAAGTTGGGAAACGACTAAAATTTAGACTGAATTGTCCAACCTTGTAAATTAACAACAAATATATAATGCGATTCCATGAATTCCTATTTACTTCAATTTACGGTAGTTACATGGGAACGTTTACGTCAAGATAATTAAATTTTAACAAATATTAAAGCATATTCCATCCAGACTAAGATGACTATAATTAATTAAACATTGCACTTTGCTTATGTTTTTTGAAAGAAAATCCCCAAACCTATCCCGAATATCACACACGTGCTTTTTGCCTTCCTTAGTGAATGTTTGTTTCTTAACTGTTGTACAGAAATTATGTTAAAAATTGTGTGAACGAATCTTCATCTCCGTCTTTTTCATTGAATAATGGTTCAACGTTTTCCATTTTATTCCGGAGAAATCATTCTCACCTTCACCCAGGTACAGGCCATTGAGGCTGGAACGATGACATTTGTTGTACCACCAAGCTCCTTTACTTTTCACAGCACAGTTATCACTCTTAAATATATCATTGTCACTATCCCTGGTAGTGAACTGCATATGATTGTGGTCAGCCAGAGAATCACCTGCATCACCTTTTAAAAAAGTAATATGCTCAATTCACTATTTTGTCTTCTAGTAATGTTTTCCGGAAAGGAACTAAGTGTGAACCTCTGAAAATTGCGTTCAAATATGTCACAATATCAGGATATAAATAGCCCGAAAATATTTGAGATTTGAAGAAAAAGTAATGAATTTGCTCAAAACATTTTTTTTAATTAAATCATTTGGCATACCTGAAAAATTGCCAATACTTAATCTGTATTTGTCTGGTTCATCAGCCACACTAAACGTCCCATATTTAGCGTGAATTTCAGTGCCATTAAAATCCATCAAATCAACTCTTAAAACATTTTGGCCAGATTTGGTCAAATAACGTATTTTATCAAGCCCCAGCCAGAACTCGCCGTTAATATCACCAAAGCCTGCTTTATAGTCTGACCATCCAAGGTAGAAATCTTGACTTCCATCTTGTCGTCTTTGAAATACGGTCCAGCCTCTCCTGTCTGTGCTCATATCACATCTGACTTGAAACGACCCCAGGCCATCAGGATCGATTGTATAAACACCATCTTTCCTCACTCCTTTGTTATACAGGTGTGCACAGCTGGTGGCTTTAAGTGGAAAACATTAAGGTTTAGCGATGTCATGGACAAAAAATTCGGACAAAATTAACATTTTAGCTACTTCGAAAATTTGCATGTCTAAATTTGGCATTGTGGGTTTATTTAGTAAACAGTAAAATGCTACTATTAGTAGGTAGGTCATAATTTCTCTCGATTGCAGGATCGATTGTGTAAACACCATATTTTCTCATCCCCTTGTGACACAGATGCGCACAGCTTGTGGCTTTGAAAGTGGAGAAGATGCATGTTAAATTTGGGATCGTGAGTTTATATATAGTAAACTGTACAATACAAAGTACTGGAACTTTAAAATATTACTGCTAGTAAGCAGAAAAGTTAATCCAAATATTTTGAAGTAGGCTTTTTAAATTTTTTATGGAGATCCTGCTGCTTAAATATTAATTTTTGATTACCACAGCAAACATAAATATGGCCCGTCGGTATAAAAGAGAGATATAATATTACTTTTCTTTGGCAAAATAGTGTGGAAGAAAGTTCATATTTTGGGCATACCTGAGTTTAAAATGTCATTTCTTCTCTTTTCCTAATAAGAAAATACTTTGCATAAATATACTGAAAGAATAAGCATAATTTGAACTCATTGACTTCAAGGCTTAGCTACAACGTTATCGCCTGAGTTGTATTTTTCCCGCCTTTCCCAAAGATTTACTCACTATTTTCTCTACACCTTTTGTTTGCGAATTTTCGCACATTGCCCAAGTCTGTATATTACAGAGGTATTTGTCACGATATTATGAGGTGACGTCACGACGCAATCTTGATGGACAGGCGCAGCAGACGGCGTGTGCGAGACAATTACAAAGGCAGACACAATAGAGTATATAGATTGTAAGCATGTAACTACATTTTCACGATTTCTCGTTGAGTTTATAAAGTATCGTAATAAACAAACACGTTACATGGTGTCAGGAGTGGGATCTTTGAAATAAAACAATGGTCGAGCCTCAAGGAGAAGCCCAAGCGCCACAAATGGCTCAGGCGCCACAAATATATGTAGCGCCATCGAACTTGCCACCGCCGAAATCGCTCATATTCGACGATAATTTGGCAACTACATGGAAGTCGTGGAAGAAATCATGGACACGGTACGAGATTGCAACTGGTGTACACAAACAAGAGGGTATTGTAAGAGTATCAACCTTATTAAGCGTAATCGGCGAGGACGGTGTCAAAGCGTACGACACATTTGCATGGGGAGAAGATGAGAATCAAAATGATGTCGATGTTGTCCTTCAAAATTTGATGAGTATTGTTCACCGAGAACTCAAATAATCTATGAACGATACCGTTTTAACAATCGAAACCAAGCACCAGGAGAGAACATTGCAACCTACCTAACAGAACTGAGAACAATCGCTAGAAATTGTGCTCATGACACGATTACACCAGACGAAATTTTACGGGATCGGCTTGTTTTAGGCATTCGCGATGATCATGTCCGAGAACGTTTACTAAGGCTAAACGATCTCACCTTACAGAAAGCAGTGGACACTATCAAAGCCGCGGAACAAACACAACAACAAGTCAAGCTAATGAGCACAGGAGAGGATTGTGTAAACATGCTTAGGGGAACACAAGGAAAAGATACTGGTTTAGAAAGTAAACAATCCCGGAAGACAAAACCGCCTAGATATCCAATGCGAAACCGCCAACAGGAAGGATTGCTTAAGGAGTGTGGGAATTGTGGTATGACTCACGACGAACGGAATTGTCCAGCGTTCGGAAGAAAGTGTTTTAACTGTGATAAGATGAATCATTTTGCGCGGAAATGTCGAGGAAAAAATAGCAAAGGAACAGAAATCAACCAAACTACGGAAGTCGATCAAAAACCCGAAGAAGATCGTTACTGTATCAGCTCTGTTTCGGACGGTGACGAGTCTAAAGCACGCAAAGCTGTGATTAATTTGCAAATTTCGAAGCCAGAGGCGGGAAACTCGGTTCAATTTCAAATAGACACTGGTTCGCAATGTGATATTCTCCCGACAAGCCTATATATACAAGTCACTGGTGACAATCAATTGCAACGCCTAAAACCCTGCAAGAAGGAAATCGTTTCTTACACAGGTGAGCACCGTAAGATTACCGGAAGAGCTAAACTGCCTGTATGGTTCGGAGATCAGCAAAGAACCTTGAATTTTAATATTATCAACGGAGATTATCAACCAGTACTATCGTTAGATACAAGCATTGCTCTAGGTGTTGTCAATTTGAGTAAATGTGACATTCTGGCACTGACAATAAAGCATCCAAAGGACAAACCGCATGTTGCAGACGAGTATGCCGACGTTTTTGATGGCCTAGGCGAGATACCAGGAGCGCACACGATAACTATAGAAGACTCGGCGAAGCCAGTTATCCACGCCCCTCGACGAGTTCCAGTCGCATTAAGATCCCAAATCAAAGCCAAACTAGATGAACTAGTCGATCGAGAAGTCATTGTCCCTGTTACAGAACCCACTTGTTGGGTATCCAGCATGTTGGCAGTTGTCAAGCCGAATAAGATCCGCATATGCATCGACCCACGAGACCTTAATCGTGTTATACGACGCGAGCATTATCAACTACCTACAGTGGACGAAGTCACATCAAGATTGGCGGGTGCCAAGAAATTCACACTCTGCGATGCTAAGGACGGATTTCATCAAATCAAACTTGACACAGCCTCAAGTTATCTGACAACCTTCAACTCCCCTTTCGGACGGTACCGTTGGACTCGCATGCCCTTCGGAATCTCGAGTGCACCCGAAGTTTGGCAAAGGCGAATGCACGAGTTTGCTCAAGATCTCAATGGGGTTGAAGTCATAGCAGATGATTTCCTTATCGCGGGATTTGGAGAAACAGATGAGGAGGTTGATCGAAGCTTGGAAGCGAATGAGCGAGCGTTTAATTTTCCAGAAATGTCGTGAGTGGAACCTAAAGCTGAATCAATCGAAGATGAAGAGATCACAGACGGAAGTCCGTTTCATGGGACACCTCATTACCGCTGACGGCCTCAAAGCTGACCCAGCAAAAGTTGAAGCAATCTTAGACATGCCGGCCCCAACTGACGTAAAAGGCCTCAAAAGATTTCTCGGGATGATAAACTATTTGGCAAAATTTTTACCTTTATTGTCAGACATGACCGAACCGCTGAGAAGACTCGAAGATAAAGACGTAGAATGGTGTTGGCTCGAGCAACACCAGCAAGCGTATGACACTATCAAGAAATCACTAGTCAAAACGCCGGTCCTAAGATACTATGATGTCAACAAGGAAGTTACTATCGAATGTGATGCTAGTGACACTGGTCTAGGAGCCGTCTTAATGCAAGACGGACAACCTGTCGTTTTTGCTTCGAGGGCGCTTACAGATACAGAAACTCGATATGCCCAAATCGAAAAAGAGTTACTTGCAATCGTGTGGGCAACAAGTAAATTTGATCAGTATATCTTGGGTCGAGAAGCTGTTACCATAGAATCAGATCATGAACCCCTAAAAGCGGTTTTTACCAAACCTATACATAGCTCACCCAAACGGTTGCAGAGAATGCTGCTGGCCCTCCAAAATTACAATCTCAACGTTCAATACAAAAAAGGCAAACTCATGTGGATATCGGATACACTGAGTCGAGCGTATCGAAACACAACTGAATCTTGGAGTCATGACACAACGGAGGTACGAGCCCTGGAAGAGATCGACCATACAGAGAATCTGTCGATTTCGCCGGACAGACTCGAGCAGTTCAAACGGGAGACAACGTCAGATAAGACCATGCAGAGCATCATCGACGCTGTAAAGAATGGTTGGCCTTTATCCAAGAGACAGTGCAGCCAGGACTTGTCACCCTTCTACGACAAAAGAAGTGAACTTGTAGTAGATAATGGACTAGTTTTCGCTGGAGAACGTTTAGTAGTCCCCACATCAATGAGGAAAGCAATGTTGACGCAGATTCACCAATCTCATATTGGAATAGAAGGCTGTCTCCGAAGAGCCCGAGAAGTATTGTATTGGCCCTTAATGAACGCAGAGGTTAAGGATTTGGTTTCAAAATGCCCAACGTGCCAGGCGCATCAACCTGCACAATGTCGTGAAGAATTAAAACCATACCAACTACCATTTCGTCCCTGGGAAACGGTTAGTATGGACCTGTTTGAGCTTGGAAAACAGCACTTTGTCCTTCTCGTGGACCACTGGAGTGGATTCTTCGAGGTCCAAGAACTTACGAGAACTACCGCCGACAAAGTTATAGTAGCATGCAAAGTCCAGTTTGCACGACATGGAATCCCGGACACAGTGATAACCGATAACGGACCTCAGTTTTCCGCCGCAGAATTTTCAACATTCGCAAATGATTGGCAGTTCAAACATGTAACGTCGAGCCCTCGCTACCCGCAATCAAATGGCCGGGCAGAGAATGCGGTCAAGACCTGCAAAATGCTGTTGACAAAAGCCAAAGCTGCTGGTCAAGACCCATTGCTGGCGATTTTAGATTGGAGGAATACCCCCACAGAGGGTTTGGGAACATCTCCTGCCCAACGGTTGATGGGGCGGCGTACGCGAACACTGCTACCGACTCATAAAATCTTCTCAAACAGCCAATCAGTGAAAGCACAAGAGATAAACTAGTTGCTCGGAAATCGCGACAAATTCACCATTATAACAAGACACACCAACCTCTTCAACCATTGAAGAAAGGTCAAGCTATCCGAATGAAATTGCCAAACGCAACAAAATGGACGCTTGGAACTTGTACCAGGGTTTTAGACAACAGATCATACGAAGTAGATGTGAGCGGTAGGAAGTACCGCCGAAATCGCCGACAACTACGGGCATCGCAAGAAAGACCTCCAACACCACCTGTTGCTGGGAATGATCCTGAGTTTGAACCTGAGCAGAGCAGAAGGGAACCAGAGAACCGTTTGGTGGAGAATGAAGCTAACCCCGAACACACACCATCATTAGACAGTGCACCCTCGGCTGAGAACAGCGAAAAACCACCACGACGCTCAGAACGCGTAAGATGCAAACCTGGGTGGCACAAGGAATATGTAATGGAATGAACTGAAAGCATTGGACAATTCGAACTTGAAGTACCTTAGTAAGATTGTATACATATCTATTCCATAATTTATATTTTGTTTTGTTTTGTCGGAAAAGAAAAGGGAAAGATGTCACGATATTATGAGGTGACGTCACGACGCAATCTTGATGGACAGGCGCAGCAGACGGCGTGTGCGAGACAATTACAAAGGCAGACACAATAGAGTATATAGATTGTAAGCATGTAACTACATTTTCACGATTTCTCGTTGAGTTTATAAAGTATCGTAATAAACAAACACGTTACAGTATTGATTTGGTATATATAGCGCATTACTGCTAAAGCCGGACGCTATTGTCGGTCTAATCGTCGAACCCTGATCAAAAGTTTCAATTGCATAGACATACCGCTTTATCATCGAGCATTAAAATCCATTCGCCTTCTCCGTGCGGTGTGATCTTTCTTTCCAATGATGTTGGTCAGTTGACAGTTCACAACATTGATCTTCATGGCCAGAAATTGCGGACATCGAATATGCAGATTGCCGTAGCAAATTTGCATATCTGTTCAAATATTATTCGTTTGCAGAACTATAAATTATATTGCGCATTCTTAAATTTCGCAAAATTTAAGAAAATCATTGCATCTTTGCAATTTGCCTTGGTTGTTTCTTGTAATTCGTGTCATATTAAAGATCCTGAGGTAATATTTTGCTGGTAAAGGTTTATGTTGGCTCTGCATTTTTATTTTATTTCTACGCTATTACGGTTTTTGTTTTATATGGTATTCAACGTGATAAATAATCAAACTTTTTTTTGAAAATGCAGGACGAATACTGATAAAATATTTTGAAATACTATATAAAAATATTAAGATTAACTTGCTCTGCAACGAGTAATTAAGGCAAATTATAATTGACCTACCTAAAGGTGTATTTTTAGCGTTTAGTACTGTGCACATTACAGTTTACTATAAACTCACGAAGCTTTATTTTAACACCATATGCAAATTTAGGCGGAAGTAGAATGTTAATTATGTCCGAATTTTCTGGCCATGGTCTCTGTAGTTAAATCCAAGACAACCCGGTTCTTTCTGACAGTGCTCGTAACATTCTATCGGGACAATTCCATGTTTAATGGTATGATTCGATATGATTTCATCAGCAGATAAACCCAGACCACCTATATAAAAAGTTATTAAACACGAATATTTGAAGAATTCAATTTTTCTCAACACTACGAAAATGACTTCGCTAGAACAAGAGAAAAAGTCTGACGACTTACCTGTTGAAATGATAGTATAAATCCCGGGAGGACAGCTGTGTGAAATGATATATGCAATTTGAACAATCAGTGGAAGTAAAGTTATTATCTTAAACATCACTGCCTGAGGTCGTCAACTGTGCTTACTTCGACATGCAGTTGCTGAAATGACGCTTAGTCAACAGAGCAGGTGATAGAACACGTATAAGTCACATGACGTCGCGTCATATTAACACAGCAAACTGAACTTTTTAACTTACTTCAGTCGAGCATAGAGTGTAAAATACTATTTTTATTGCAGAGAGGTTATAGGAGCGTTTTAGGAACCGTAAGATTATACCACAGTAAAACTTTACTTACACAAATTAAATATTATACAAACAGTGCATACCACAAACATATAGACTCGAAAACTTCGAAATCATTAATAATTAACCACGATGGCGAAGATTTTAGCTTTACGGTTTATTTTATATATTTCGTAGTTAAAGTTGAAGACGTATTAGGCTATGCATGTTATGTTTAAATCGCCGAGTTCAAGTTCAACTTAAATCACTTGAATACGCCGCTTTGTTGCCGACCATGCATGTGTACAATGCTATAAGATAAAAATGATTCCGAATAGATTCATTGTGGTAATAAAAATTTTTAGAAAATAGTCAGTTTTAAACTCTATATTCATATTCAATTCTGAGTGATAAAAGAGCCTGGCTTGCGAGGTTGAGTGATCCTCATATCTAGCATGTTTTAAAATTTAATTAACTGCGCAATTACGCAAAATGTCAAGAATATAACAACGCTAACTTAAACAAAACCTAATTAATATAAGCGTAAGAATAAATCATTGTTTTAAATGAACAGACTGTGTTCTTGACTAAATTTTAGTTTTGTTGTCTGAATACACTAAGTATGTACACAAACACTAAGGACCCAGTTGCCAAACAAAACAAATCTAGTGCTGTTTACGAATTCACAAGCATGTCCAAATTACATAAACATGTTTTTAGGTAAAACAGACAGAGAACAGTTTTAGAAAAAATGTAAGGAACACGCATGGCATGGAAAAAACAGTCATGTTTGCACACACATTCGCTTCTGTGATGATCTCACCAATAAATCGTACAAAGAATTTAGAGCGAGTAGAGAACTGAGTGCATGTTCATTTGAAACAAAAACTTATTGTTACACTTGAATAAATTAGGTGGTCACAGAGTAACTAAAAGAAACAGAGCAAGAACTAGTGTACCTACTTTTAGTGCGCATGCTCGGCAAGTGCCTAGATTATTGTAAAGATCAAATCAATCGAAAATATTTGAGCAATAAATCCAATGCGCATTTGATCACTTCTAGCTCACGCGCACTAAAAAACAGGGTACAGAAAAATTATGTGTTTAATTACCATACGCCACCAATAGTTCCATATGAGTGTTTACTCTGTTATTAGGTTGATATCGTTGTTATTCGTTGCATTTGCGTCATTGCGTAGTTAATCAAATCATTGTTTTGTAGATGAAGATGATTCGGATTTGGTTCTAAATATAGAGTTAATAGACCTTTCAGCACGCGGCCCGTGGGTTTCGCGTGGAAAGACTTGATTGGCTAATCTGCATTGCGGGAAAAAGTTCGGACAAGCAAAACATTGAAAACAATATATTTTACAAGCCCAACAATGGATATCGCGACTATATAACAATTAGACAACGAGTCCGAGTTGTCTATGAGCGAATAGTCAACGAAGGCGAAGCCTGAGTTGACTATCCGCTCATAGGCAACGAAGGCGAGTTGTCTAATTGTTTTAGTATACACCCTGTACCTAGATATATTAATTTCGAGGAAATAATCGATACACCGCAAAATTACACCGAAAAATAATTTAATTAATTCAATTTTATACGGTCGCGCGAGCGAATTTTTCCCAAACGTGCACTATCACGAATAGACGATGGTTGAGTAGCCAATCAGAATGTAGGATTTGTAATAGACAATAGTCGGGTGTATACTAAAACAGTATAGATGAATCCCTGCACAATAAGAATGTGTATAATCTGAAAAACTTTCTCCTGGACAGAGGAATAACGGCAGCGAACAACCAAAAGGCAGATTTGGTTGTGTTTGCGCAAGCAGCCCTAAAATTGAAGCTTTCAGCCATGATTTCCACAAAGATAAGCTTGACCTGAGCGATCGATTGCAAATTAAAGACAAAATACTGCCTGATCCTTGTAGTTTAAAAGCGTCAGAAATGTCTGGACGCCTTGAAAATATTCCACCTTTTAGCATGTAAGATATATTCAACTTTATCAATGCTTGTTAAGGCCGAAACTACAGTGTGCATAAAACAATAATGTATATATATACTTATGGGTCTGAGTTGGAGTTTAGTTGATGCAAATAGGAAACGCATGTACGCGTGAAATTGTAGTGATTTTGAATGATTTGCCTGCTAGCTAGGGCTAAAAACCAAATCTGTGCACAAAATAATTAGCCGTAATACCTCAAGATGGTTGCGTTGGAATAAAAAATCAGAATAATAGAAACTGTGAGACATATTCGTTTATTCGCCCAAATATATAAACTGTAATGTTTCAAACTTTAAATCTACCCCTTTAATTAATCAAAGTAAACTGAAAAAACCAGATGCCAAATTACACCATTCCAGTTTTATTTTCCATCACGTCAGCTGAAAAGAAAAATAGTTAAAATATTGTGGAAACAAACTAATAAAACAAACCTCGAAAGTTTTTGTTTCAAGTGCTTTAAGAATTAGTGGAAGGATTTGGATTCAGAAATGAAAATACGGAACACGGAATACGTATAGCTATAAATGAATCTCTCCTTGTGTCAGAAATGGTAACGAATATGCCGGACATAAAATACATACCAACAGCATTGATAAAAGGGTTCAGGACATTCATAGCCACACGGAACATCGGGCGGAGGACAAAGCTCACCCCCAGGGATACAATAACCGCCCACTGCAATGTTACAAGCTAAATGAAAATCAGTATCCTTTGTTATACTTTTCTTGATAATTTTTCTCTTTCTTCTTAAAGACACACTTGTGTATACAACCCAACCAATTGACGTCCTTCCATATTACCCTAACTTGATTTATTACCCTCCCTTACAGTTAAAAATATAATATTACCTTTTTGTTGTACAGGTTCATGGCCTTCAACATCTGAAAATGCCACGAAAAGTACGAACAACAGACAAATATTCAGACGGAAATCCATTTGTGTAGAGAATGTATCTAGAAATTAACAAGACAGAGATGAATAATGTCAATCAATGAGAACGAATTAAAAACACGAGCTATTTATCTATTTATCGCAGCGAGTGATTACTGCAATTCTGCAAGCCCCTGGAAAAACTTGGGAAAGTTATTTTAACTGGTGCATGTTCACTCGCTTGATTGATTGAAAAGATGAGGTAGTTACATTGAATAGTTGAAATAAAAAGCAATTGATCAGATGGGAATTTTGCATAAATTTTTCCGTATAATCAATCATACATGTGCAAATCAATATTTTGCACTGATATTACAAATTGCGTGATTCTCTCAGCAGGAAAATTTAATTTTTAAAACAACTATACCAGATACCCAAGTAAAGAATATATAAATATCCAAATAAATATACATAAATATTCAAATATAAATATCCTAACTATTCAAACACAAGATGAAGCTTACCTTAGATATTTGCAGTCTAACAACAGTAAAGATCTCAAAACTTCACAGAGAAACTTCAGTTCGTCAATGACTTCGGGTCCCGTTGACTCAAGTATATATGCTATCCGTTGGTCCGAAAATGTCATATTTATTTCTATATAAATATTCACTTCACTATGTATATGTCGGATAAGAGTATGTCGGCTGTAAATTAACAATATCGATTAGTAACGTTTTTTCCGAAGGCCGCAATACTAACGAATTTGCTTGAGTAATTCGATTAAATCTGCAACCTGACTATAATGAAAACATGCTTATAGGTCTAAAAGTATAATGCTTGTTGGCATGTTATAGAACATTATTCCTTAGAGTAAGCAGAAAAAAAAACATTTTAGGTGATAATCAAGGTGCATGCGTGGTGTTATTATAGACGCATTGAACTGACGTCATATTTCTATATTAGTGACATCTGCATAGACGCTCCTTGCTAAGCTTATACTAAAAAATATGTGGCTAGCAGCATAGTATATAGATGTTCGTAATTTGCAAAATACATTTTACGTTAATTTATTCCTGAAGACCTACCGAGACGTTCAGATGTAGTTCAATTAAATGTAATATAAGCTCCTAGCTCTGACCCTGTTACTGCTGCATTTCGTTTAATGGAAATAATTTGATTGATGAACATAACAAGAAACCTCAGACACGCTCAAACAGAAGGGTCTGATATATAAATTAAGGTCAAGTCTATATGTCTTATGTATAAATCACAAAATTATTTTCGTTTTTACTTTATCGCTATATAGTTAGATTAAAGTGCAACTGAGCGCTGACTTCATCTTCAAACTTTTACTTGATTATGTCAGTTAATGTTTCACAGTACCTACAGATGCACAAGTCTTTGTAGGTGCACGACCATTTACGTTTCCGACAGTAGCATTTCAATGTACGCAGCGCATTGAGTCCCATATTCCCATGCTATGCTTTTCAGCTATGAATTAATTTTTAAGATGAATCATGCGTCTTTTGGAGAATAGGATATAGTACATTTTAAAATTGTGATTTGGTATAATTTTTGCCGTATAATGCAAAGTCATTGCATAGCTTAAACGCGTTCATGCATGTGCTTATGTCCACGTTCTCATATAAATAAACAAGTATTTTGAAATGAAGAGTTTACTTGATGGAGATAAGAAAATATATGCCATTGAAATCGAAGAAAGATTCTGAAAGGAAATGCTTGACTTTAGAGGATCATACATAAACAGAACAGTTGTTTCGCAAATCACTATAAACTGCCGGCAGGCGCTGTGTTTACTATCTTCGAAGTGGTTAGCTCGGCGCCGCCAGTCAAATAATATAGAGAGTTTACGATATACGACGATATTGGCTTGAATTTGAAGTGTGTATAATTCCACTGGAAATTAAGACCCTTTAAACCTCTAAATATATATGTATATATATATACGTGGCACTCAAAGAGAATAAGAGTTATTATTATATGGCACGCGGTCTCGTGACTAAAATGGCGTGCGCTGATTGGTTGTTTGCCGGTCTGGAATCCCCCGGTATTAGACCGTTGCCGTAGTAACGGTCCAACTCTCATATTTTTGAACAAAAACAAGCTTGCACTTTTATTTTTGACACGAAAAATATCGACGGAGAATGGACAAAGAAGAGCATTATTTGGTACATGTGAATATTATTACTGTATCATTCTTATTTAACGAGTAAAAAACAAAAGTTTTGGAAGCCCCTTCAGTGCTTGCTTGGCGACTGGCCGGCAAGAATGCTGCAGCGCATTGTATAAATAAATAGACTAAATACTGTAGCCATATAATAAACCCTTATTAACCGAATACGTTCGGTCGGTAATGGAAAAATATCAGACCTCGGTCTTTTATGTACGGACCTCGCTATCGCTCGGTCCGTACTGTCAAAACCTCAGTCTGATATTTTTCTAGTACGGACCTCAAATTCGGTTAATAAGTGGTATGTATTGACCTGATTTGCATCTTCAAGTTTCTCAGTTTCTCTCAAACAGTTACTAATCATTATAAATATGGCCGATCTGCAAAATGGCTTTAAAGACTTCAAACAACTCCAAACACATTATCGTGAAATTGGTGGAAATCACGATGTTGTAAAAGCAACTACGGCAATGTGCAACGTCATGGCCATAAATGCAGGCCAATATGGCCGCCAAGCTTAACGCTAATTTAGAAATTCAATATGCCTTAGAAATGAGGGGAGAATTGTTCAAATTTTATTTTTTTGTAACCCACAATTAAGAAGTTATGTTTGTCCACGTCCAAAACATCGTCAATTTTATCGATCTTTCACTGGGAACGTTTTGCCGCTCGAACATAGTAATATTATAATAATGATACGGGGGCTTTTTGCCACTCGAACATAAAATCCGTAACATGAAGTAGTGACAGGTATCTCCGCCAAATGTGAAAACTCTATGAAAACTCTCATGGCGTCTGAAAGTAACAATGTTTTGTTCAGGCGATTTCGCAAGATGATAAATTTTGCGAAGTGTGGAATTGGTGAGTTACTTATTGTTCTAATAATCAAAATATACGAAAAGTTAAGTACCCTGCTTTTATTTCATAGTAGCATCAAAAATATTAAATATTACATGTAGCTCATTTGGCATGTACCAGCATGTGTTTGCATTCGTTTTATAGCATACTTACATAGCATAATATGAAAGTATATACTCCGGCCAATTTCTACTTGTTTTTGGCATGCATTGGCAAATGTCCACGTCCAAGATGGTTCGTAAAGGTTCTTGCGTTATTCGCGTCGCATTTTAAAACCTTAGAAATACGCCTAAATGTGATCCCCAACGCGATTAAGTTCATCAATTTCGTAGAGTAATTTTTGACGGCCATTATTTTCTTTTACCTGTTGCTATGATACAAGCGACACTGATCTAAATAATGCACTGAAACGCTGACCGCATAAATCACAAAATTTTCTGTTTACCTTTATCGCCATATGGTTGGATTAAAGTGCTACTGAGCACTGATTTCATTTTTAAACTTTTACTTGACTGTATCGATCATTTCCGACAGTAGCTATTCATTGTATGATGGGGCATTGAGTCCCATATTCCCAGCTTTTGTCTATGCTATTTAGATATTTTAGGATGAATCTTGTGCCTTTTCAGGAATAGAACATAGAACATGCACTTTAAAATTGTGATTTGGTACAATTTTCGCCGTATAATGCAAAGTCAGTGCATGGCTTACATGCGTACTGATTTTGTCTCCATGCAAAGTTGGCTGAATTGTATACAGATGCACAAATGTTTGCAGGCTACACGTCATCTAACATAGCTATTATAAAAGGAGTGCCGGCCTCTTTTGGCTTCTTCCATGTTTGCTTTTAGGTATGTAAAAAGAGAATCCAAAAGAAAAATTTGAATAAAATCTTAGCGTCGCTTTCACAAAACCACTTTCGGCACTATAATATGCCGACATGATTTGCTAAGCTAAATCAAGTTAAGTTATTATATCTCCCTTGACTTCGACCCGAGCAATAGCATCAAAGTAGGACAATATCGACTGAATAACCACGCTGATAATATAAACAAACATATGAAGATATGATTGGAATTAGGAAATGTTCACTGAATAAATCCGTGTTAAAACTGTTATAAATCCGCGGTGATGTATACATGCATGCAATTGAATTTTTAGGTTGTATTCCGTGTTTGACTCAGATTAAGATCGTGGCTATTAAAAAATTTCGAGTTATTAAGCATCATTTTTGCGTTAATGCAGGACTGGACATATTTTCATATAATTACATGCTATTTTTTAAAAGCGTGGCTTTCACAGAAGTTAGCGCAATGTACAGGACACTCAAAATATTCTGTATTTAGTCATTTTCGAGTTTTGATTCTTGTAAACACTGTAGAATATGTGTAATGTGCATGGGACGTTTCCTATGGGAATGCAAACCGCAAAACACTATAAACGTTTCGCATGGTAATATTGTACGTATAAGTTTGAACGTTATTTTTGACGTCATATACTTCAGAAACAATTTCCCATGCTAATAAAGTCTAGTGTATTCGCCAAATTTTGGTCGCATCGAATTTAAACAATATGTATACGATGAGATGATCAACTGGCTTATTATGGCTTGTCACGCTACTATAATTTTTTTGAATGCATTCGACGCAATATAATGACCTCGGTAAATTGGTCTATAATAAGCGATGGTAAATCATTTTGATATCTCATCAGCCTAAATGTAATTTTTTCCACTGACTTATTCAAAGGAATAATATCCAGCATGCTAACAATCATGCAGACATGTTGTTATTATGGGCAGGTTTGCAGGTAAATTTTATCATATTACTCAGGCAAATTCGTTAATATGGCGGCCATCGGAAAACGCCTGATTAAAATCGATATTGTTAATTTACAGCCGAGACACTCTTATCCGACAGAGTGATGTGAATACTTTAGAACCTGCAAACCTACGATTAAACCTGCAAACTTGACTAATATTAAAAACATGTTTATAGATCTGAAAGTATATATGGTTGTTGGCATGTTAGAATATCATTGCTTAGAGTGGTCGGGAAAAAATACTTTTTATATAAGAGTATAATCAAGGTGCATGATTTTACATTTATCATCGATCTGTGCTATGCTATGCCATCGCTTATTATAGACCCATTGAACTGACGTCATATTTTTATATTAGTGATATCTGCATTGACGCTTTCTTGCTAGGGTTATACTAGAAAAATTTTAAAACTCTTTAAAAATAAAAACTAATAAAAACACTTTCGGTACACTTTCATATTTTTATATAATCACATGCTATTTTTTAACAGCGTGGCATTCACAGAAGTTAGCGCAATGTACAGGACATACACTCAAAATATTTTGTGTTTAGTCATTTTCGAGTTTTGATGCTTTGTAAACACTGTAGTCTGTAGAATATGTGTAATATGCATGGGACGTCTCAATTGGACGTTTTTGTCATTTGTGTTGCAAAACAAATGTATGTGAATTAACAATGAAATGGTTTTTCATCAGTGTCGGAAATGATATGAGTGTCAGAGAG